GCAATGTTTCGCCACCGAAGCTGGAACCCATTATGACCAACAAATACCAATTTTCAGACAAATCCGTGAAAAAATGTGGCAAAAATCATCAAATTACCGAATATCGGGAGTTACCGTTATATGGGGGCTATACCAAAACGTGAACCTACAATTAAAATTTTTCGCCACACGAACTAGGACCCATTATGACCCACAAATACCAATTTTTAGACAAATCAGTGAAAAAATGTGGCAAAAACCATCAAAATACCGAATATCGGGAGGTACCGTTATATGGGGGCTATACTTAATCATGGACCCATACATGCAATGTTTCGCCACCGGAGCTGGAAACCATTATGACCCACAAATACCAATTTTCAGACAAATCCGGGAAAAAATGTGGAAAACAAACTAAAATACCGAATATCGGGAGGTACCTTTATATGGGGGCTATACCAAAACGTGGACCTATACATGCAATGTTTTGCCACACGCACAGGGACCCGTTATGACCTACAAATACCAATTTTCACACAAATCCGTGAAAAAATGTGGCATAAATCATCAAAATACCGAATATCGGGAGGTACCTTTACGTCAAATAATGTGGGCTGTATCGTGATTTCAACAGACAGACGGACAGAATTAGTTCGAATTGTTCGAATTAGTCACCTTTGGCACAAATTATGGCCTTATGAAACCGTCACACGCTGTCCGAATGTTGCTCTGCGGTATTTTGGCTCATTCCCGGCGAAGCGCTTGCTCGAAGAGATCGAGACTTTGATATTTTTAGTGCCAACCTTGCTTTCCAAAATACTCCAGACACAATAGTCCAAGGGATTGGTATCCGGAGATTTTGGTGGCCATTGTGCGCTGGAAATAAAGCGAGGAACCTCATTTTATTACCATTCTTGGGTGGCGCGTTTAAGCGCGGTGGTGCTTAGTCCTTTTGGAATGTCCAAGTTCTGCGGCCACAATGTTTGGGTGCCCCAGGCTTTAGTACACCCTCCAAAATATTTTCGCGATAATATTCGGCATTTATTTTAATTAATACGAGCGGAGAGCGACCATCGGCTGTTATTGCGGCCCACACCATCACCATGGCCGGCGCTTGAGTTCTGGTGGCCAACCGAAGGTGCACATTTTCAGCTGACCTCTTTCGCAAGTAAACACGAAAATTTTGTTTGTTTACAAAATGCTCGACAACGAGTGTTTTCTCATCGGAGAAACCAAAATTCGGCAGTTCACCATTTTCGGCCAAGCGAAGCAACTCTTTTGAGTGTATTTTCCTTCTGTTGCGGGGTAAGTTCTTGTACATTTTGGAATTTCAATGGCTTTTACCCCGAGCTCATTTTTTAATTTTTGCCGAATGGAATATTGCGATATGTTCAGCTCACGAGCCATTTTTCGGCCACTGCGACGCGGGTTTCGGTCAAGTCGCTTCTTTATTTTTCGAACCATTTCTGCTAATGTTTCTGTTTTATTCCGTCCACTTCCTTGACGTCGGGCTACGCTACGGTAACGAGCGATGATACGAGACACAAAAGATTTATTCACATTTAAATGCTAGAGTGCTCTAACGATAGCCACTTGTGGTTTTCCAGCCAAATATAAAGAAATCACACTATCACGCTTGAATTCCATCACGAATAACTTTTTTCCTGGAAAGTTCTCACCTTTTACGCTTGTAAACAATATTATATGCTGTCTCTGGAAAAAATATTAATAGCTGTCGGACGAGTGGCTTAGAAATGACAGCAGTCTGAAGTTGGATGCAGTTTTTTCATCTCACCCTGTAGATTTTTTGCTTTTCTTAATGACTGCAGTCTGAATTCGGTTGCAGTTTTTTCATCTCACCCTGTAGATATTTTTTGATTTTCTATAGAAAAATTGGGAAGTCCTCCGAGGATTGTCATTTATGTTTTTGGGGAATTGTAATTTGTCTATAAAACTATTTCTGAATAAATTTCCAAAATATTTTCAATTCAATGAGAATTGTTTTTTACGCCTTAATAAAGGCAAACCTTTTAAATAAAAAAAACATTGAATCAATTAAAATGTGTTCTCTTTTCTTTATGGACTCGATTTTTTCCTAATGCATGCCTTTCGTTTTTTTATGAAAATTACTGATTTTTCTGAGGTCTGAGTTTTTCCATTAAAATATACTATGTTCTTAAAGAGATTCATTTTTCTATATTAGAGATGCTCTCCTCACAGATTGCAGTCCTTTTGAATAAAAAAAATCCTCACACAAGGATCTCAGTCCTTTGAGAAGTGATATTTATTGTAAAGAATTGATTTTTTCATAGAAAGACTCTCAGTCTTCTGTGGTATGTTGTTCAGTATGAAAAATTGTTTAATCATCATGGGTCTAATTGTCCTTAAAAGAACTAATTTTTATTTTCTGTCCGCTAATGCCTGTCCGTCCCCTCCTGCATATTAGGATTCCTCCAAGAAGTGATATTCTTCAGCCTTAAGTTTAACTTCGCTTTGGCTTTGTGACTTTAGTATGTTTGTATCGGTCAATGTAAACAACATCAGTCGCAATTTTATTTACAAAAACATAAAACACCACCAACAACAACAAAAAACTACAACACCATCCACAACATCAACAATGTAAGCACGTGCCTCTCCAATCAAACAATTATGGATGTACAACGACGTAACATAGATTATCTCGACAAAGAAAAACAAAAACGACACCACAGACCTCAAAGTAAACATAACAAACAAAGGCAACAAAAACAATAATTGAAACCAAGCTTAACCATAATGGCAACAACTCATCAGCTATTTAACATGGCTAGGTATCGAGCTAGCCTGAGCGAGCAGCAGCAGCAGCAGCAGTGATGCCATAGCTTTGCTCATCGTTGCAACTAATTATCATCCTCTTGTGTGTCCGTTGAACGGCGGCGGCACGAGCAACAACACGCTGAAGTGAGCCAGTGGTGCCCGGCAAGTCTAGCTAACTAGCACCTGTTTTAACAGAGGGGATTACTTACCTTCATCATTTGGGGTATATTTTTTATGGTTGGGAAACAGTGGTTCAAATTGGTGGATGGTTGACGGACTCTAATGAGTTGTTTTATTCTCCCATCTTATAAACATAGAAGAGTCTTCAGGGCCCACGTATGTCAATGAGTCAAACTCGCTTGTCACTTGATAGTCAAGAATCATTTCTCAGAGAATTGCATTTTTTTCATTTGAAAAAAAACCGTCCAGAGAAGACTGAGAATTGTCGATAACAAACAAAATGTTGTCGATAACAACAATTTCTATAGAAAATGTTGTCGATAATAACAATTTCTATAGAAAATGTTGTCGATAATAACAATTTCTACAGAAACTGTTGTCGATAACAACAATTTCTATAGAAAATATTGTCGATAACACCAATTTCTATAGAAAATGGTGTCGATAACAACAATTTCTATAGAAAATGTTGTCGATAACAACAATTTCTATAGAAAATGTTGTCGATAACAACAATTTCTATAGAAAATGTTGTCGATAACAACAATTTCTATAGAAAATGTTGTCGATAACAACAATTTTTATAGAAAATGTTGTCGATAACAACAATTTCAACAGAAAATTTATCGACAACACCAGTTTCTATAGAAAATGGTTACGATAACAACAATTTCTATAGAAAATGTTGACGATAACAACAATTTCTATAGAAAATGTTGTCGATAACAACAATTTCTATAGAAAATGTTGTCGATAACAACAATTTCTATAGAAAATGTTGTCGATAACAACAATTTCTATAGAAAATGTTGTCGTTAACAACAATTTCCATAGAAAATGTTGTCGTTAACAACAATTTGCATAGAAAATGTTGTCGATAACAACAATTTCTATAGAAAATGTTGTCGATAACAACAATTTCTATAGAAAATGTTGTCGATAACAACAATTTCTATAGAAAATGTTGTCGATAACAACAATTTCTATAGAAAATGTTGTCGATAACAACAATTTCTATAGAAAATGTTGTCGTTAACAACAATTTCCATAGAAAATTTTGTCGTTAACAACAATTTCCATAGAAAATGTTGTCGATAACAACAATTTCTATAGAAAATGTTGTCGATAACAACAATTTCTATAGAAAATGTTGTCGATAACAACAATTTCTATAGAAAATGTTGTCGATAACAACAATTTCTATAGAAAATGTTGTCGATAACAACAATTTCTATAGAAAATGTTGTCGATAACAACAATTTCTATAGAAAATGTTGTCGATAACAACAATTTCTATAGAAAATTTTGTCGTTAACAACAATTTCCATAGAGAATGTTGTCGATAACAACAATTTCCATAGAAAATGTTGTCGATAACAACAATTTCCATAGAAAATGTTGTCGATAACAACAATTTCTACAGAAAATGTTGTCGATTACAACAATTTCTACAGAAAATGTTGTCGATTACAACAATTTCTACAGAAACAGTTGTCGATAACAACAATTTCTACAGAAACAGTTGTCGATAACAACAATTTCTACAGAAACTGTTATCGATAACAATAATTTCTACAGAAACAGTTGTCGATAACAATTTCTACAGAAACTGTTGTCGATAACAACAATTTCTATATAGAAAATGTTGTGGATAACAACAATTGTTGTCGATAACAAACATTTTTGATTTTTTGTTTTCAATTTAAAGAAATCTCCTCCTGAAGACCACAGTGTCCCATTTGAAAGATGCACATTTACGAAAAAAAAACATGCCATTTAAATTGCAGCTCACACAAAAAAGAAGCTACATCAGCAAATGCTAAACCAGCCAAGCTTAACCGTTAGCTAACAACAACATTATTGCAAATAAAAAAGCACAAACACAACAGCAATAATTTTTTATTATCACGAAAAGTGCATGACTTAATAAAATGCATTACATAAGATTTCAATTTTTTTTTTCCAAAACCAATATTTTTTAACAAAATTTATAATTTCGTTTTTGTTTTTTTTTTTGTCTCTCCCACCCTTTCTAATTTCAGATGAAGTCGTTGGCCTTAAACTTGTTCCAAAAAATACTTCCACTTTTAATGGTCTTACTGTTGTTATTGTTGGCAACATTAGCGACAGCCGCAACCACAACGACAACAACAACAGCACCCGCAGTGGAAGTAACATCCTCCACGCCATCATCTTCAAGGCGCAATCAACATTTTGCGGGACGAACTAGATTTTCATTTGTACGAACGACTACACCCGTGCCTCCATCATTACCAAGACCTCCGCAATTAAGACGTCGTTTTAGCACCACCACCATCTCCCCGAGTGGCAGTAGTGGTGGCAGCAGCACCAGCAGTATATCATTGCCAACCTCCACAACATCACCGCCTGCAACGGCGGCAAAGATGGCCCAACGACAAAGACGTCTGCCACAGGCAGCAAGACAGCACGCGGCATCAGCCTCTGAAATTATCACCTCCAAGCCAGCAATCGTGGGTGAAGCCTCAACATTGGCTTCGACACGGCTGGTTCGGCATGTGGATGCGACCACCCCAAAATCGAACAGCAACAAAGATGATGATGGTGGCGGCGGTGGCATACGACAGCATCGTAGTTTTCAAACCAACAGTCAGACGGATCGTTCATCAGTCTTTGGAGAGGAAAATGGGGATAAGACACAATTTCCAACGAAACGACGAACATTTGGACGAACTGTCGTCCCAACTGAGGGCAACAACAACCACAACAGTGCCGCTGAGAGTCCCTCGCCAAGATATCAACGTTTCAGAACGACAACCAACTACAATAAGTCGCAATCATCATCATCAGCAACAACAACGGCTCACTTTGATGGCCGACAACTATCATTGAAAAGCAATTCTGCATCAGATGACGATAGTCCTACGAAGTTGCCGCCACCACCACCATCACCAACTGGAAATTCGAACAACATAAAATTGACAACTCGCCACAATCAGCAGCAGACACCAAAAACGTGAGTCTGTCATTTCTTTTTGTTTGTTGGTTTTACTGTTGTAGTTGTTGTTGTTATTACTAGTGTAGTGTTAATTTATACGCTGTTGCATTGGCCCAGCTCTCGTTGTCGTTGAGCACTTTTCGTTGAATAAATGCTTGTTTTTAGCCTTATTTGTAGCTATGGAATAGCAGATATCTTGGGCTTTATGTGACTATTTTTAGTGAGTCATGAGGTTATGCGGTTATTGTGGTCACTAACGACACGACCGGCCCCATGAGCCAACAACCGTGCAGCTAACCAGCTAGCCAGTTAGTCAGCCATTCGCATTCTTGTGGTGGCGGCCATAAATTTGTCTGGCCCGAAAATTCCTAAGAGTCTTAAATTGATGACTAGAATTTATTTGGTTTTTTGCCAGGGAATCTGGGTTATTTTATTCAATTTCATTGAAATTCAATTTAAATATTGGAATTTAAAATTGAAACGAACTAGAATGCAATAATAGCCGTATCCTTAGCTTTGATTAGTTTCTTAAATTTCTACGACTAAACATGCATTTTAAGGGAATAATTTTTCAAGGACTATTTGCCGTTTTTTTAAATATATCCCTTCGACGGTTAAACGTAGATTTTCTAAGATTTTTTTATTTTAAGTAACGAACAGATTTTTTTCAAGTACCAAATGTGAGTTTTTTTAGAGTTGTTGTAAGGCCAAACCTGGATTTTCAATGAGACAAGGATTAAAAACACACGGAATTTTAAAAATATTTTTGCAATGTCCAAGGAGAAACCTCGATGTTTTACAGCATATTTTCAAGGACCAATGTATCCAAAAACTTAGAATTTTGTAATAACTTTTTCAAGGTATAACACCACCACAAAGTGAATTTAAAAAATATTATTCGTTTTTTTGTTTTTGTTTAGTATCGGTAGAGTCTCACATTTAGGTTTTTTGTAAAACATATATTTTATCTCTACTTCGTCAGCGAAAAGTCCAGCTTAAAAAAGTCCAGCACGATTTTATTTTTATTCAAAATTATTTCAACCCTATCCCGACCCTCTTCATTTTGCACTTTTCCAAAACCATTTCCTCCCAACTGTAAATATTAAATTTCAGTTCTGTTATCTCCTCCATTACCAAATTTAGTACCATTTAGCGCAATTATATTACGCATATCCAAAACCAGGTCCTTCTCTCAGCCGCAAACACCAACAGTGACATATATATCAAATTTAAGGATTGCACCTCTATTTCTTCTCCCAATACAAAATTTAGTACATTTAAGTACTTTTCGTACAATTATAGCACACATTTCCAAAACCAACATCAAATGTCGGGATTCCAGTTCAATCCCAATATCAAAATAGTACAATTTAGTACTTTTTGACAATCATAGATTTCCAAAATCACATCCATATCTCAATTCCAGATACCAACAGAGACCTCTATATCAAATATCAAGATTTCAACTCCTTAATTTCTCCTATTACCAAATTTAACAATTATATTTCGCATATCTAAAACGAGGTCCAAACCACAGACACCAACAGTGACATGCATATCAAATGTTAGTATTTCAACTCGACAATTATTATTATTACTACAATTTCAAAAATCCATTCTATATCGCTAATCCAGATACCTGTTAATACCTTCATATCAAATTTCCAGCCCCATCCATTCTCCCGATACCAAATATAGTACCATTTACTACTTTTCGTACACTTATAGTACACATTGCTGAAACCACCTGCATATTTTAATCCCAGATACCACAAATACCTCAATATCAAATTCCAGGATACCAACTTAGTAGTTTTTGTAAAAAAATAGCACCCATTTTCAAAATAACCTTCATATATCAATTGAATCAATATCAAAGAGGCCCAATCAGTCAGTCTGTCACTCTTTTTTTTTTTTTTTTTTTTTTGTTTTGCTCTTTTATAAAAATAGATAGTTCAAATTTTAGTACCATTTGGTACCTTTAGTACATCTATGGTACGTATTTCCAAAAACTATTTACATATCATAAATCTACGCACCAATTCTGTCCCCAACACCAAAATTCAGAAATCTAACTCTATCCGTACAATCAATACTGAATTGTGTACCATTTAGTACCTTTTGTACTCTTGTAGTACTTATTTCCAAAAATAATTTCAAATTTCCGGACTCCAGCTCTATATGTTCACCCAAATCCCATTTGTACCAAATCTAGTACCATTTAGTACACATAAGTACGAATCTCAAAAAATTTTTATATAGCCCAATCTTATACTCCAACAGTAATCCTTATTCTAAATCTCTAAATCTCCAGCCCTATTGGCTCGCCAAAACTCAAATTGTACCAAATTTGGTACTATTTAGTACACATAAGTACACATTTCCAAAAGTTCTACATACCCCAAATCTATACTCCTCCATATTCCAATCCTACATTCCGACACTAATCTTATTTTCAACTTTTAGGATTCTATCTGTTCTCCTAAAACTTATATTGTACCAAATTTACTATTATATAGTACACTTCAGTACGAATTTCCAAAACTTCCTACAACCTCAAATCTACACTCCAAGAGTAATCCTAATTCCAAATTTCAGCATTCCAGCTCTATCGGTTCACTCAAATCGAATTTATTTAGTAGCATTTAATAATTTTCGTGCACATAAGTACCAATTTCAAAAACTACTTTCATCTCCCAATCCAGTTATTTTATTTTAAAATTTCAGGATACCAGCTCTATTGGTTCATCCAAATCCAAATTGTACAAAATTTAGCACCAAGTGTTCTACCTAATTTCTACGTACCAAGTGTACTACTTAAGTATAAATTTTCATAACTACTTACTTCATACATGCCAATAGAAAATATAGATTGTACCAAATTTAGCACCAACAGTACGTACATACCCCAGCCCTAAAATGCAATAGTAATCTTATTTCCAAATTTCAGGATACCAGCACTATTGGTTTATCCAAATCGAAATTGTACCAAATTTAGTATCATTTAGTACTTTTCCAGCACATAAGTATACATTTTGAAAACTACCTCAATATCCCAATGCTACACCCCGCCAGTAGAGTTAATTTCAAATTTAAGGATTCCAGCTCAATCCGTTCGTCCAAATTCAAATTGTACCAAATTTGGTATACATGAGTATACACTATTAAAACTACCTCCTTACATCGACTCTAATCCTCAACCTCGATTTCCATTCCAAATTTCAATGTCTTTAGCTCTAACCGTCCACGCGATACGAAATCGTACAAAATGTAGTACATTTCCGCACTTTTCGTACACTTACAATGCCAATTTCAAAAAACCCTTTGGTACTTCCATCACACACTGAATCGGTGACCTTTATTCCAAATTTAAGAGTTCTTAACAGGTCAAATACAAAGGATACCATATTTTAGTACTTTTCGTGGCGTTCTACTACGAATTTCCAAAAACCCAGCCTTATCCGAAAACTTCGGACCAAGAGAGACCCCCATCCAAAATTTCAGGATTCTAGCTTCAGCCGTTTCATCTGGACATTAAGTCAATCAGTCATATGTAATTACTTACTTTTATATTTATTTATTTTATTTAAATATTTATTTATGCATTTAGTTATTGAATAACTTTTATTTATTTATTTTTTAATTGTCTTTCTTCAAAACTTCTCTTTCTAGCCCCCGTATGATCCACCGTCTAGTTGCTGGTCATATACAAAATAACGATAATCGTCCCGCGGCATCCAGCAACAATAGCACCCGGATTAGATATATCCTACCCCTAAATACCGATGACACATCCCCATTGGGATCCCGAAATAATGGAATACTGAGCAGTAGCTATAGAGATAATAAATTAAATGCCAATATTCGAATAGATAGCCGAACCACAACAACGACAACAGAAACTCCCACTTCAAAAGGTATCAAAAATTCCACCCATGACGAGGAGGGAGATTATCATGATGATGATGAGGCCCTCTTAGATGATTCGGGAGATTTTGATAATTGGGATAATGGTATACTCCGGCTAAGTGCTGGTTCAGGTAAAGAGAACACCTTAAAATCCAAAAAGAATAAAGATGAGTCAAAAAAGACCTTGGCCGATCAGGTGAAGGATGGTAAATATGGCCTTATTGAAAAGGAATTGTTTCGCCGACCTCCAAAGAGGCCAGGCGTTTTGAGTTATTTACCCAACAAAGAGGTACCCGAGGATAATGAACGTAACTATGGCGGCTTGAATGAGGAAGATATTTGGCTGGCCGAGGATCATTTGCTCGTAATCAAGGGTGGCAGTTTGAATGAGGACAATCCCGCCGAACCGTGGCCGGCTATTGATGACTTCAATGCCGCCGGCAGGCAAATTAAAATCCCCGACAATCCAAAAGTCCCGCCACCCTTTCCTGTCCAACTCGAAGAAAACGGCCCCGTACAGCTTATCGGAAATAATAAACTCACGGTCGTCTATCCGATCGCTAACGAACCGTTATCGATTTATTCCGGCGGCAGCGCGGGCCCAGAAGTCCACAACGCATCGCCCGAAAGTGACAGTGACGACGAGAAAAATCTTATTACCCGGCCGGGAGCGCTTAAGGGTGTTAAAGAGAACGAAGATGCCGCGGGCGGTTACAACTACGCGTCGCCCCCACTCCCTTGGCTTGTTGCGAACAACAAAACGTCTGTTGATTCGGCGCCACCGTTAAATAAGCCGGTCAATTATCCGGTTTTGGGACCATTCCTCTATGGACGCAATGGTTCGCTGGATAATGCCACCGATGACTTTGATGAGGATGATCCGTCGTTGTATTATCCTCCACCCTATAGTTTTGTTTATAAGAGCAATTACACGAACCCAGTGCCACCAGGTCCATTGGTACCGGGTATTGTTGTGCCACCACCGCCAGATCAGTTCAGTAAACTGGAGAAATCTGAAAAGGAACGACGTCCCTCCCACGGTGGTGTTTCCACGCCCATACGTTATAGGGTCTATAGCACCACATCGACCACAACCCCCTTGCCCATTGTTACCACAACAACAACAGCACCAACCACTTCGAGTACTACAACAACAACGACGACGACGACCACAACAGAATCGCCATATAGAAATACGATTACCAAAATTACCGAATACACCCCGAAGATTATCCACATTGCCTCGCCGTCACCAAGGCCTGTTTATACACCCACAGCCTCGCCAGCAATTGGTTCGAGAATACCTACAACAACATCCCCACCACCCAACCGGGTTTCACTACAAAACATCCAACCCGTTCCAGTACCTGTCGCCGTCCCCATACCCATTTACCCCGCCAATGTGGAACAGAACATACGACCTGGAACCATATCCTTTGTGCCCACAACCCCCGAACCCAATGTGGAAAGCTTCTCCAAATCCAACCCCATCTACTATGAATACTTTGAGGCCAAGAGACAACATCAGCCGACCTCCCAAATATTCGATGAATTTCTCTCGACGACCGTTAAACCCTATCCCACTCCGTCACCGAAACCCATTAAGCTATACAACACCAGTAAGAGGCCATACAAGAACCGTTATCTGCAAAATAATGTCCCATCCAATCATCGTTATGTAGATGAAAATATTGTGGTGATAACCCCGAAACCGGAGCTACGTCAGAAACAGAGACCCTACTACAAGCCAAGGCCTCTGCACAATTTCGAACAGGATGTGTCAAATGTGCGGGATAGCTTACGTTACTATCAGAATCAGGAGTTAAGGGATAACAATATTCCAAGGACCCCCAAAGCCAAACCGGTATTTGATTACAACAACAACTACGAAACCACCAAATCGGTAACATCGGACGGCTCACGAAATACCTTCCAACCTCCACTGGAGTACGATGTAGAACCCTTCCAACCCATGGTAACCTATAGTCCACCGGTGGGTGATGATGATGCATTTAAAGCCGTAAATCTCGATAAAGCCGACAATATCTCTCTCCAACCCCAGGGACGCGAAGAACCCGCAGGAGAGCAGGAACTATATTCTCCTCAACCGAAATATGTCAGCACCACCACCCTTGTGCCCATACAGCAGCCGGAGAGGTCCAAGAAACTTAGGGCTGGGGCTAAATATCTCCAGCAACACAGCAGCCAGTATCAACAACAACGGCAACAACAATTCCAGCAACAACAACAATTCCGTCAACAGCAACAACAACAGCAGCTGGAATACAACCGCTGGGTAGCCGTCAATAAACAGGAATTCGAAACCAGATATACCACGCCAGAGAATGCGCCGCGGCAACGGGAACGTTATCAAGAGCCCGCTCCCATACTACAGCCTCAGAGGAATCGTGATGGTTACTACTATGGACCATCGCGGCAAAATAATCGTTTCTACGAGGAACCTTTTCAAAATGCACCAAATCGTAAAATTATCAATTATCGGCCAGCGGCTCCACCCATCTCTGCACCGCAGGTTCAGCAACAACAGCTGGCACCACAACCGCTATGGAGTTTGGAGAATGATACCTATGTCAACTATGCGCCCAATCGACCACCCCTCAATCCTGATGCAGAGTTCATAAATCCCTATCAGACAATACCCATTAACACGTATCAGCAGCAGCAGCAACAACAACAGCAAACACAAAGGCTTGGGGCCTATCAGCAACAGCTACACCACCAACAACAGCAGCAGTCGGGTATAGCCCCTCCAGCATTGTCACATCAATCACAATACTATGCCCCACCACAGCAAGTGCAGGTACCCCAACGCCTGCCAAGTCGACAATTTCAATCACCACCCCAACCAGTATCATTGCATCGCGATATTCTGGTAAATTATCGTCAACCTCTGCCGCCCATAAATCCCGATAGTGAATATATTTCACATCCTCAGGTGGTACGCAATCCCATTGCTGCTAATCCATATTATCGCAATGGTGGTAACCAATATCGTCCCGCTGGCATTCCCGTGCCAAATCTAAATATTGAAAGTGAAGCTGATGTCTATTTTCTGACGCCGAAATTTCGACGTGCCAATAATTTAGGTAATAGCAATAATTCCGATAATCGGAATCAACCTGCGACAAATGGCAAGTAGAGGGTAGGCGTGGGGAGTATTATAGCCAACAATCATAAAAATAATTTTCTGTCCTATAAGTGTGCGCAGGGTAGAATCATCGAGGTAAACCAGCGCAATCATATTCGCCTTTTTTTCAAAATTATTCCTTTGACAATATCTCATTGTCCAAATGTGTATTTTTGAGATCCATTGTATATTCAGAAACCAGGGATGGGAATTGGTTTTCTATGCTGTTAAATTTTGACAAATGTTCTGTTCCAGAACCGATATCATAAAGAGAAAATCGGTTAAGGTCGTAAAAACTTTTACATTTCTGCAGTTATGGAACAGAGCAAAGGTAAATTACAGAAAAATTTCGAGCCTGATATCATTTTTTAAAATATGTCTACCTTCAAATAGTTGTACCATGAGTGTACGTTTGGAAGCCAAAGCCTATCTGATGCTGGTGAATTGTCTAGAAATTTGGGAAACTGCAGCTAGTAATTTGAGAATCCGGTCTAATATAATATAGGGCATGTAGTGCTATTTTGTAACAAGTATGGACCACTAACAATATTTTTATCTTCATTATACATATATAGGTCTCTTTGGACCAAATCCGTTTCAGGACATTTGGAGTCGATCTAGCGATATCCGTCCGTCCGTCCGTCCGTCCGCATGTCGGTCTGTCTGGCTGGTGCGCACTATAACTCTCGAAGGGAGTATCCAATTTGGTCCAAACTTGGTACATCGTGATATTTTTATCAAACTTTTATCAAGTTCGGAGATGGGCAATATCGGCCACTTCTTTTGGTACCTCCCCCATAAAAGTTCAAAATTTTCAAAAATATAGTATTTGCACAGAAAGAGTAACTATAATTTGATTTTGCTCCAACTTTGCAAATTCTAATATCAGTTCTAGGTCAGGGGCGAAAGTGGAGAATATAGGTCCACTCCATCAAGTACCACCTCCGCAAAGAGTCAAAATTTTGAAAAATTACAACTCTTATAAAATGTGATGTAAGAGTCCGACTGTCTTCAAATTCCACACATACCAATATTTTTATTGACCCATGGTCTGGTGTTAAGATGGAATACATCGGTCTACTCCTTCTGGTACCTCCTCCACAAAAGGTCGAAATTTTCAAAAAATATATTTTTTGAACAGAAAGAGAAATGATAATCCGATTTTGCTCCAACTTTGCAAATCATAATATTTGCGTCAATGCTATGTTAGGTGTGAAAATGGGTCGGTCTCGGCCCACTCCATCAAGTACCTCCCACACAAAGGGTCAACATTTTGAACAATTTTAACTCTTATAATATGTGATGTAAGTTTCCAAATGTCTTCAAATTACACACATTACACTATTTTTTATAATCAAAGGTCTGGTATTAGGATTGAGTGGTCCACTCCTTCTGGTACCTCCCCCACAGAGGGTCAACATTTTGAATACCCACGAAGCTAAAAAAACGTGAAATTAACATCCGATTCCATTCAAACTTGGCACATCTCAATATTTCTATCAACACAAGATCTGTTATAAAAATAGTAGAGATCGGACCATTTCTCCTGTTACCTCCCCCACAAAGGGTCAATATTTGAAATAAACACAACAAAAATCCAAAATAAACATCCGTATCTCTTCAAATTGCACATATCACTATATTTTTATTAACCGAAGGTCTGGTGTGAAAATGGAATATGTCGGTCCATAAAGATGCTAGAAATCGGATAATTTCTTCTGATGCCTCCCCCACATAAGGTTCAAGATTTTTGAAAAACAAAACTCTCGAAGCATTGTCTGTCTGTCTGTCTGTCCGTCTGTATGTTGTAATAACGCTATCTTTCGAATGAATTGAGATGGAAGGCTAAAATTTTGCACACATGTTTACTTTTCCAGTAGGCAGGTTAAGTTCTTAAATGGGCCATGTAGATTCTCGTTTTCATATAACCCACATATAACGGTGCCTCCTGATATTCGGTATTTTGATGATTTTACCGACATTATTCACTGGAATTGTTTCAAATTACGTATTTAAAATTCGTTATGGGAACTACAGTCTGTGACAGAAAATTGTCTATGCAAGTCCAGGTCTTCGCACAACCCCGATATAACGGTACCTCCCTATATACGATATTTGGATGATTTAAGCTACATTATTCTCCGTTTATTTTAAGTTTCGAATTTGAATATGTTAATGGCTTATGACAAACAATGCCTATGTAGGTCCACGTCGTATAGACCCCAATATAAGGGCTATATTTGGTATTTTTAAAATTTTAACAGAATTTGTGAAGGATTTTATTTTTTGAAAATTTCGAAATTCGTTCCAAATGGTGGAGGGTATTCAAAGTTCGGCCCTGCCGAACTTACTGCTTTTTAACTTGTTTCTTCTTGCTACCGCAAGATCTATTGTGATGATGATATATATCCGCCAACCCCTTCTGGTACCTCGCCTACAAACGCTTACAAATGTACCAGATATCTTAAAGAGCTCGGAAATTCCTTTGCCAAATTTTATCAAGAACGACTAAGATTTGGATACAGCTCCCATATATATCCTTAATTCGATTTCAATTCGAATTTTACTGTGCAAATAATGGCTAATATCAGCCCGAATGGAGTGAATTGCGGAACTTACGTTGGTGGAATTCGTGAAGTGATATCATGCACTATGTAGCAATTTTATTTGGTATAATAGATGAATATGTCTCCTTAACAGTTGGTGAAAATCGATTCAGAATTGTATATGTCTCCCATATATTAGTTCTCTCTCAAACCAACCTGTGACTGCTCTAGAGCCAAATGTTGATAGGTGGTATGATCTACTCAAATAAATTGTTTTGCTACGGAAACTCTACCAAAAATACATAGTGATGAGTGGTATTCTAAAATTCCACCCCGACCGACTTTTGACTTTTCCTTACTGCATAAAGGGAAAGTCGGTTATCGTATGAAAATCGGTTTACATTAGATATTTTATAGAACTACAAGAATGTAGAAGTTTTCACTACGATACATGATTTTTCCTTTGCAAAACTAGTAGATTCTTGCAAGTACTGGAACAGAGCAATTCTTGAAGTTCTGGAACAAACCAATGGTCAATTTTACTTTCGGATATTGGGACGGTGATCCCGTAAATTATTTTAAAATAGTAAATAGTTTTAGCAAATTTAACCGGAAGATGTATATTGCAAGTTCTGGAATACAACTTTATTTATTTGGTTCTTCCCTATCACTTCCTTTGAAATTAAATGTTTAGTAATTTAAAAATTGGTTTTAACATATCTCCCTAGCTTATCATGGGACGTTAATTGTGTATTTTAAATATTGATTTTCATTTCCGGCACTTGTACATTTATTTATTCTCATCTATCTCGACAGCATATCTTATAGGCTAAATCGAAACGACTTTCGACTTCTTCCAACAATACTCTATAGCAGAACAAAGCAAATATGTTTTACTCAAACTTTTTTTTTCAACAAACCGAAATGTTAAATCTTCAACGGTCTTGGATCCTTATACATATATACTCTGAATCAACTCTTTATTTTTTATATACTTAATATAATTCGTTATTAATTTTCAATTACATTTTTTAATCCTAAAGCAATCCTATTTACTTACTACATACATACTCTCATTTCTCTTTTTTTCAATGTTAATTTTCTTTTACTTATTTAAGTTATTTTAATTGTTAAACTGGTCAAACTAAGGAAAAAACGAAAAAACGCAATAAATTGTTTATAGTATGTTATTTCTTGTAAATAGTTGATAACTAATAGTATTAATTACTACTATTTTAATTTTAATTTTTTTTGTACACAAAAATATTATTTTTCTTTTTTAATAATTCTCATATGAAAGCCATAATTTTTAAGAATAACCTAAGTTAAAGGCGAAGATAAACGCGTTTAAAATTAGTGAACAAAAATATTGGGTTTTAATAAATTAAGTTAATTTTTTTACGTATATGTTGTGACTCATTTTAACTAAGTTTATGTGAAATCGATTAATTGTTATAAGCAAAAATTATTAAATAAATATTTAATAAATTATTAAAATGGAAATAATTAAAGAAACTTTCCAATTCGTTAATTTATTTCATAAAGGGGTGAAGGTAAGTGACAAGAAAAATAAAAAATATATTTTTTTTTGGAATATGGGAGACCCATGAACCTGCCCATTAAAATTTAAATAGCACCTTTTAAAATTATTCTAGTGACACTCAGTAATTTCATTTCTGATCAGCGCTTTTTTGGAATATTTTTTCATCGGACTAGTATCCTATTTTATAACAGGAGCAGAGACATAGGATGGAAAAGACTGGACATAATGCATCATGTAAAAATAATCAACGCCTAGACGAAACGGCTAAAGCTAAAATTAAAATTTTGCACGAGAGTCAGTCTTGGTGCGTCGGCATGTGATAAGGCTGGGTTTTTGGAAATTTGTACTAAAAGGGCACGAAAAGTACTAAAATGTACTAAAAATGTAATACTTTTTATTAGACAAACGGAATGAGCTCACTGATGGAGTGCTGGGTAAATCTACCAAAGGTCTTAAGGAAATTCGACCTTAAGGATTACGAAAAATTCCAAAATAGTACTAAAATTCAAAAAAAAAAAATTCACATAATACTAAAAATTCTAAAATTCTATTTAGTATTATGTGAACGGATAGAGGTAAAAATTTGGTACGAGAATCAAGGTTGGAAAGTAAGTATGATATATGAAGGTGGTTTTTTGTACTTTTTTGTACTTAATTTGGAACACTTTGCTTTAGGAAGAACGAATGAAACTGAAATTTTGTATTGGGATCCCTGTTGATGGTAGGTTTGTGATAAAGAGCTGAATATTTAAATGTGTACTACAATTGCATGAAAAATACTAAATAGTACTATATATAGTACAAATTTGTATTGGGTGAATAAATTGTGCTTGAAATCTGAAATTTAGTATTAGGGTGGCTGTTCATGAGAGTGAGATGAAAAAAACTGCAATCAAGTTCAGACTTTTGTCATTTCTAAGCCACTCGTCCAACAGCTGTTAAAATTATTCCAGTGACAGCTTATTATATTGTTTACAAGCATTCAAAAGCATTTTGGTGAGAATTTTCCAGAAAAAAAGTTATTCGTGATGGAATTCGAGCGTGATAGTGTGCTTTTTTTACATTTGGCTGGAAAATCACAAGTGGCTATCGTTAGAGCACTCCAGCATTTAAATGTGAATAAATCTTTTGCGTCTCGTAGTATCGCTCGTTGCCGTAATACTGGTAGCGTAGTCCGACGTCAAGGAAGTGGACGGAAGAAAACTGCAACATCAGCAGAAATGCAGTTCGAAAAGTAAAGAAGCGACTTGATCAAAACGTCACAGTGGCCGAAAAATGGCTGGTGTGCTGACCATATCGAAATATTCCATTCGGCAAATATTAAAAAATGAGCTCTGAGTAAAGCCATTCGGTAAAGCCAACTCACACCGCAACAGAAAGAAAATAGACTCAAAAGAGCTAAAGAGTTGCTTCGCTTGGCAGAAAGTGGTGAACTGCCGAATTTGGTTTTCGATAAGAAAACATTCGTTGTCCAGAGATTGAATGATTGAAGAATGGTTACAAAATAAGGTTCCTCACTTCATTTCCAGCGCATAACGGCCAAAATCTTCGGATACTAATCCGTCGGACTAATGTGTCTGGGGTATTTTGGAAAGCAAGGTTGGCACTAAAAAATACCAATGTGTCGATAAACTCAAGCAAGCGCTTCGCCGAGAATGGGCCAAAATACCGCAGAGCAACATTCGGGTAGCGTGTGACGGTTTCATTGGCCGTTTGAAGGCCATAATTCGTGTCAAAGGTGAACAATTCGAACAAATCTAATCTTATTCTAAAATTTGATGTTATTTCCGACATTTTTCGCTTTCATTCAATAAAATGCTAAAAAATGTAAAAATTAACATCATGCATTGTAAGTCTTCTCCTGAATGTGTATCAATTCCTTTTGTATCAACGCTTCAGGAACTTTCCACAAACATTGCGAAATAATTAACATTTGATGTGAAAGCATTTTGGACCCAAATAGTAAAATACCAAAACCAAAACAAGTAAAATATGCAAATGCAAATATCGTTTATTACTTGGTATATTATAACGATAGTTCGTAAAAATACTTAATTTTTTTAGTCAAATTAATGTTTGCATGTTATTCATGTTATTCAAAAATATAAATTTGATAGAAAATGCCTTACAAAGTCTAGCCATTCTATTTATACAACCCTAAAAGAATGCTATAGTTTATCAACAACAACTTTTTCCAAAGTCCTATATCATTGCTAATGACTACTATTCACCACTAGATGGCACCATATAATTTTTAATATTCGGTGGTACAGCTATCTTTGGAAGAAATAGATAAAATAAACAAAATGCATTTACAATACCTAGACATTTAAAAATTTAGTTTTAAAATAATGAGTAATATTGAATTCGACAAACATGCGATTTATTTAATATAGCAAATAAAATAAATAATAGGATGGTAAATAAAGTTGTATCCCTTGGTAATAAATATTGGCATAAAAATACGTTTGGATGCAAATGGTTTTATAAAAAGTCTGTCAAATTATAGAGCACGACAATCAGTGGCCTTGAAAAATCAAAATACATTGAAATTTATTATACAACGGATAGAGGTAACCGAATGAATTTTTTCTTATAGTAGTCTCGGAATGTCGAATCACAGCGTATTTGATGGGTACATTGTTTTGGATAATGTTGTTGTAAAATGGTTAGACTTAATCCCATTATCGTTGTTTTTATCAGAACCACGTTTGTTTATTAGTGGATATATATGGTAATTTTTACCAGGGGGTAAGACAGGGAATTCCTAGGTTTCGCAAGGAGCCACCAATGCTCATCAGTTGGCTTGCTTTTTGTCTGGGGATATTCTCCCCAGGAGTTATTATAAAAATAACTCCTGTGACAAAAAGCCTTTTTTTCAAGGGCTAGAGGAGCAAACGGAAGAGGAGCAAAAAATTCAATTAAACTCAAATTCTTTGGCATTTCGTCTAAATCTGAATAATATGCACAATAATTAAAAAAATACAATTCATGTTTATAACCTTTGTAGAGAAAAATATTTTGCGTTTGAGGATTGACAATAATCTTAAATCTTAGCCCTTCTGAGTGAAAAATGTGTCGAGAATCAAAACCAGAACTTGGAAGGAACCCATAGGCCTTTCTGAAATATTTGTATTTTCTAAGATTTTCCAATATATTTTTATACCCTACAACACTATGTGTTGGGGGTATTATAAGTTTGATTGGGCCAAAAATTATGTAACACCTCGAAATATTGGTTTTCCACATAGGAAAGTATATATGGATCTTCCTAGCTCGCCGAGCTGAGTCGATCTAGATATGTATGTCCGTCCGTCCGTCTGTCCGTCTGTCCGTCTGTCCGTCTGTCCATGTTAATTTGTAATCACTCTACAGGTCGCAATTATGGCTCGATCTTCACGAAATTTAGAATATAGGTGGGTCTTGGACCAGAATAGAACCCTATTGATTTTGGAGATGAACGCCAAATGTTTAGGGGTTGAAATGGACCAAATACTGAAAAAATGTCGGATTTTACAGTAGCTATACAGGTCGCAATTATAGACCAATCGACGCGAAATTTCGCATGTAGATAGAGTTTTGGGCGGGGAAGAAGCCTACTAATTTGAGTGGTCATCGGATAATATTTAGCGGGTAAAATATACCATATCTTTTGTGTTGAAAAAATTCAAAATTTTTCATTAAACCGTGAATATTTGAAATCCCTGGGAAATCACAAAGCCATCACAAGGTTACTTCTGACCTTTACATTGTTATTATCCAACAAATCGGATATATAGCAAAATATGTGCGATATATTTGTCTATCAAAGGAGATATGCTTGAAAGATCTCTTATATGTCGAGAACGGCTGAACTGATTTCGACAGTTCTCAGTAATTCAGAATGGCCTCTTGGCAGGAGAGAAAAAACGTCTAAAAAATCGCATAAAAATATCTCTCTAAAGAGGAAAATATTGATTTTGTCAAATTTTCTCATATTTTTTTTTCAATTTTGTCACATTTTTGGCATATTTTCATTTTGAATTAAACATTTGGTAATATTTCTACAGCTAACAAAACTAAGTAGTTAGGATATCAGGATATCATATACAGATCGCATTTATGGTCCGATCCTTATGAAATTTCGCATGGGGATAAGATGAGGGTCAGAATAGAATCCTACTCTTTTTGGAGATGATCGCCATATATTTAGGGGTTGAAATGGACCAAAAAAACTGCAAAATTGTCTGCAGGTCGTAATTATCGCCCGATCCTCACGCACATTTGAAAGGGGGTTACCGGACATTGCAAAAGCCAAGCAGTTTTGGATGGCCATCCAAAAATATTCAATGTGAGAAATAGTTTGCCAACTTTTGTAGACAAAATACGAAAATGTCCATTTCAGTGATTTTGGAGAATTCACAAATACAGGAAAGACGCACTTCTGACTATTTCGTTAACGCTGATTTCGTTGAAGAATATAGTCAAATGTCTGTATCTCATATAGATGCGTTTCAGTCAAAAACCAATAATAAATGTTAATCTTTTGCCACTTCTGAGAGATTATAGGTCTTTGGGAAATATTGGTTCCAGATCTAGGAAGACCATTTACGTGCAACATCTACCAATAAATTGGAAATGAGTAAATTAGTTTAAGTTGGTATTATTCGATAATTAGAGAACGAAACCTGATGGTTTTCTTTTATAATTCGTCACAATATTTTGTGAAATTCTTTCGAGTATCTCGCCTATATAAACAGTATCGTTTATTATAGTGTTGTAGAGTATTCAACGGTCGGCCCCGCTCGACTGTAGCCTTTGCTTACTTGTTTTTTCTGAGTTTGTTATTCGTTTTCCAATGTTTGCTCTATTATTCGAGATTTCCACTTAAAAATAAATAAGGAAAATTAAGATATGTTTAAAAAAAGTTAAAAAACAAACCAAACAAGTCTTAAATATATAATCACAATTTTCAGTTAGCTCCAAGCAAACTTTGAAATGTGTGTTCTCGAAGTTATGTAAAAAAGTGGAACGGGAGAAAATCGAATTTTAAGTCAACGATTAAAAATGACATCAGGTTCGGTCGGTCCGAGCTTTTAAATCCTTCACCTTATAAAAATTAAATATTTTTGTGAAATCATTTGTTTTCAAATCCCAAAAAAAATTGGGTCATGACCTGTAAGAATTCTAAATTTTTACATTCTGAATAAAAAATGTGATTTGGGCCTTAAAAAATACCCATATTTGCTACTGCAAAATATCAAATTATATCCACTTCGAACCTAAACCTAAAAATGACACTAATGACCAATTTTTGTAATTTGGTAGAAAACTTCAAAATACCGAAAATTTGGTAGTGCCGAATTATGGGGTCTACAGTAAATACTGTACCTATATAAAGGAGAGATTTTACCTATTGAGAGTCCAAAATATGCCGTTGATTCAGTTTAAAATTGCGGATTTTAATGATTTTATTAAAACGTTGACCCCAAAAACAATACGTAATTATGGGCATTTAAAACCCATTTTCATCAAATGTTTCAATAATATATACGGTCAATAATATATACGGTGCCTAGTCGAAATAACGGTTTTAGACCCTAGGTCTCTTTGGACAAAATCCGTTTCAGAACATTTGGGGTCGAGCTAGGGGTGTTCGTCCGTCTGTCTGGCTGGCTGGTGCGCACGATAACTCTCGAAGGTAGTATCCAATTTGGTTTGGAGATGGGCAATATAGGTCCACTACTTCTGATCCTCCACCACAAAAAGTCGAAATTTTTAAAAAATATTATTTTGCACAGAAAGAGGAACGATAATCCGATTTTGCTCCAACTTTGCAAATCCTAATAGTTGCGTCAGTGCTAGGTCAGCTGTGGACAATATACCTCCCCCACAAATAGTCAAAACGTTGAATAATTACAACTTTCATAAAATGTGATGTAAGAGTCCGATTGTCTTCAAATTTCACACATCCCAATATTTATATTAACCCAAGGTCTGGTGTTAAGACGGGCAAAAGCGGTCCACTCCTTCTGGTATCTCCCCCACAAATGGTCGAAATTTGCAAAAAAAAGATATTTTCTGCACAGAAAGGGAAGCAATGATCTAATTTGCTCTAATTTTGCAAAACCTAATATTAGCGTCAGTTTTAGGTCTCGTGCCAAAATGGAAAATATTGGTCCACTCCGTCAAGTACCTCCCCCTGCCCTACATAGGGTTCAAAATTTTGAAAAACATAAGGCTCAACGAAAGCGAAAGCATCCCACTTTCTTCAACTCTCTCTTCTTCTTCCGGCCGATACATTTTTACTTGTTATATTCAAGGAGTATAATGTTTTTGTTTTTAGTTTTTATTTTCCTTTTGCGTTTAACGTATTTAATGCTACTCAGTAACACTGAAAATTATTTTATTTCAAATTCAAATTTTTTTAACGAAAATTTACTTTAGTTTTCGTTTTGAAAAAGGTCTTATATGCATCTTGGCAACCCTCATCTGGTGTAGAAACATGCGCACACGGTAAGTAACAAATGTTTTTCAATGCTGGCAATACCATGCACTCACTCTCGCTCTCTTTTCACTCTCGCAACATAAAATAACAACTGCTGTCTTCCTGTCACAGACATTCAAGTGCTGTCTCTTCCTCTCTGCGGAGGTATTTTTATGGAACTAACGGTATGTTCAGAGGATATTAATTGTCAAACGAAGGTGCGAAAAAAAAAACGGAGAGGAGACTCACAAAAAAAAAAAAAGAAATTAAACCCCTATAAAATACAATACCCCGAGGAATACGAGTCGAATTCGTTTTTAATTGATGGACAAATGAGAAAAATAGAATAAATTAATTGCCAATGGCATGGATGGATGTGGAATAAGAGTGAAAAATGATTCCGTGTGTGCTGTGGAAAAATACGCCAACACAAATACAATTATGGGCGATGTGGATACAAATGTCTATACAGGACACTAACTAATGTCCTGACGGTGAAGACAGGAAGGCAGTAACATTTACGAGAGGTTATAAATATAAGAAACAGACACACACACACACGCGAGCAACAACAACACCACAATGCTGCATGTCCTTTGAGAGCGAGAGCACACACAGAGCCATAAAAGAAATTATTGAAATCAATTCGAATCCATCGAGAGTGTGTGATGAGCGAGCGAACAAATTGTTGAGGAGTAGTGAAAAAATAAAATTTTGGAAGAAAGCAAGGAAAAAAAGTGGCAAAGAAAAATTCATCTCGAGTGGATAGTAATTGTGGAAAATTGGTAAAAAAAGAAAAAAGAAAATTTAAAAAGGACTCCCCGGAAATGAAAAAATATTAATTGTTTATTGAAGTTGTAGCCATTGGAATGGAAATCCACAAAATATATACGTGAATGAAAAAATTGAAAACGTCAAGAGAGTGAGCGAGGGGGTTCCTCCAACAAATAAGGTGTGTTGCTTTGTAATGTCGTGTTCCACCAGACCAACAATAGTAGAATAAAAAAGTGCTTTTCAAGAACACAACAAAAAAAGGACATTTCTGGTGCGTATCCGTGACGGTTGCGGCTGTGTCCAAGTAACGGTAGGTGTGCTCAAGTGTGTGTAAACTATGACTCAAATACGTACATATGTTGTTACCTTACACACCGTGACATTGCATTGATGGTCCTGGCGATAGTAAACAGGACACGCACACCCGCACACATACAGTGACACATGTAAGGAAGCTCTTGAACTCGGAAATTTCGTAAACGTACCCATCGATAAAACAAATACTGAATATTAAAAAAAAGAAAGGACACCCAAACCACTTCTCCAACAAATTACCGCCCAGGGATATGGAACAGCAACAACAACAACATGAATATGTCCACTAAAATTTGTCCTTATTAAAAATCAATAAAAAAAGACCATGTTATAAGAATCTCCTAATAACCAAGACGCTGTCAAAGAAAAATCGACGAAGGAGGAGCAGCAGAGAGACGAACAAAACATAACTTTTTTTATAGTTCCGGTCTGGCGTATGACGAACCTACCTCGTCTATTACGACAAGGTTGTTAACAAGTCTCCTAACATTAACACTTTTTTTGGAGCACACACCCGCACACACACAGACACACTCACCCCAAAACAAATACGGAAGAACACGACAAACGAAAAAAACGCGCAATAAAACATGGTAACAATGTCTACAGAGGTGGATAAGACACAAGCGACGATAGCCAATGCCATGGCCCAAAAAGTTGAAAATTCCACGACATCACTGAATGGCGGAGTCGAGAGGGAGGACGGCGTTGAGGTCACGACTTGTGGTGGTCTCAACAATGGTAGTCTGAATTTCGCGGAGAAGGTGGACAGTGAAAAGCCCACGGTGGACCATAAAAGTCCTCAACATGATGGCGCCCAAGAAAATCAAAAGAAGGAAGATACCGAGGTTACTGGAGGCCACATGGCAAAGGAAACTGAATTACCCGTGGCTAATGCATGTCCTGCCAAAGCAAAAGAAGAGGATAGTTCTAATGACACGCCAAACGAGGACAAGGGAACCACGAATTGTGTTAACACTGAAAAGGAGCAAACGGAAACCACCTCATGCGATACTAAATCGACAACAACTACAACCATCATTAATAATAACAACAACAACAATAACAATATATCATCAAAACTAGAAACAGTAACAACAGTACAAATAACTACAACAACAACAACAGAAACAGCAACCACCCCCACCAACACCGCCGCCAACCAGAGCAGTGACAATGCCACTGATATTACAACACCAACACCCACCATTACCACCACCGCCGCCACACCCACCACCAGCATTACTCAAAACACCTCTCCCACACCCAACAAATCCAACTGTTCCTCCTCAGCCACTGCGACTTTAAAATCATCATCATCCGGCACCAGCACCCAACAAACGACGGCCCAACAACAGACCCTACTACCCTCCTCGATACAAATCAACAAAGTGAATGCCAATGCCCCAACATCATCGTCGGCAAATGCTGCTGGTTCCTCGTCGGGGACCAATGCCTCCGGCTCACATCAACGGAATCAACAACAGCAGCAGCAGTCGCATCATCATCAAGGTAGCGGAGGACAACAGCCTCCCAGCTCGTCGCAACATTCCATGCAAACGCACAGCGGAAATGTTAATCATAGTAAAAATAAAAATGAAGATGCTCCCAATATTTTGGTGTACAAAAAGGTGGGCCATCAATAATTTTTCCATCAATTACTACAACAATAACAACATCCTTTTTTCAGATGGAAGCCATTGTGGAAAAAATGCAAGCCGAAAGTACCGGAGTCTCGGTGCGTACTGTCAAAGGTTTTATGACAAAAGTTCCTTCGGTCTTCACCGGGGCTGATCTCATCTCATGGATATTGAAAAATTTGGATGTGGAAGATGTAACCGAAGCCCTGCATTTTGCCCATTTGTTGGCCTCCCATGGTTATATATTTCCCATTGACGATCATCAGTTGACGGTGAAAAATGATGGAACATTTTATCGGTAAGTATTGCAAAGAGCAGAGGAGTTGTGCAGCTGAGTTAAGAAATAATTAGTGTCGCATAGACTAAAATCAGGGTACGAGACGCATTCCACTTACCCTTATAATGTACTACTTGCAAAAAGAAGGACGGTTTGACATCAGACAACATATTGTTTGTGTCATGCTGAAGTGTTCCCTATACTATTTATGTATTTTTGAGATATGGGAAATTGCTAAGGTTTTCGGGATTCACTTTCTGAATTTTAAATCAGTTTCGAATAACTAATATAATTTTCCAGATATTTCCAAAAATCGGACTTTCAGTTATTAGTTGCATATGACAACTTTTCCACTAAAAATCACTCAGAAACTTGTACTGAGCGAACTTTCAATAGCGTAAAAATATTAAAAAAAAACACACGAGCTAAAGTCCATTATGACCTACCTTAAACCCTTAATCGACTTAGAATTTAATGCTGATAATGAATATATATACTTTATGGGGTCTACGATGAATATTTAAGGGTGGTACAACCGGAATGACAAAGTTTCAAGGTGGAGGGTATAACAAGTAAGCAAAGGCTATAGCAGTGCGGGGGCGACCGTGTGATACCCTAAAACACTGCAATATGTTGGGAATCCCCTTATGTCCAAATCCATTCCGGAAGATTTCGTTTTTGAAATGATGTCATAGAGGCCTACCCAGATGTTACCCTTAATTTTTTGACCTGGGATATTTGCCCAATATTTACACACTCCGTCATATTGCTAGGTATTCAAAACAATTTCACACGAAAGTTGTGGTCCTTTTTACAGCTAAATATAATCCAATGGTCATCCAGTGATAGACCTTTTCCTAGTCCTTAACTCTCTTCTCACGCAAAATTCCCTGTCGATTGGTTTCCAATTGTGACCTGTAGATCGACTGCAAAATCAGGAAAATTTTATTTATTTATTTTAATTTTTTTGGTCCATTTGAACCCCTTAAATGTACATCTTCTTAACAATAGGCTTTAATTTTAACCCTAATCCTACCTCCATGCAAAATTTCGTGAGGATCGATACGATAATTGTGGCCTGTATATAATACCCTCAAAACACAGTGTTGCGAGGTGTAAATGGGTGTAATGCATAATTCAAAATTGTAAGTAAAATTAAAACAAGTAAAAAAAGCTAAGTTCGGTCGGACCGAACTTTTATTACCCTCCACCATTTGGAAGGAACTTGAAATTTTTCAAAAAACTAAACTTAATTGAAAACTGTTATATGGAGACTACACGAAGACGTGGAACTGCTTAAAAAATTTTTGTCATAGGCCGAAATACCCATTACGAATTTTAAATGTGAAACTTGAAATAATTCCGGTAAATAATGTCGCAAAAATCATGAGAATGGGGGCTATACGAAAACGTGGACCGACATGGCCCATTTACAAACTTAACCTACCTACTGGTAAACTATGCATATATGCAAAATTTCAGCGTTATATAAATCAATTCGTTCGAAAGACAGCTTGATTTCAACAGACAGACAGACGGACATCGATAAATCGATTTCTAAATCGATTTTACACGATTTTCTTAGGTTTTATCCATTTCTGACAAGAGACCATTCCGAATTGATGAGAATTGTGAAAATCAGGCCATCGGTTCTTGATTTATACACAGAATAACAAACATCAATGTATTTTACATATATATTGTACGTCAGCATCACTGTAATAGTCTGCAACAGCAACATCAAGAATTGTTTCTGTTTTTGGTCTATTTCAACTCCTAAATATTGCAATCATCTCCAATAACAATAGGCTTCTATTCTGACCCTAACCCCACCTACATTTTCCATTTTGTGAGGACTGGGCCATAATTGCGACCTGTAGCTTGATTAAAATTTAACATGAACAGACGGACATACAGAGTGAGATAAAAAAATTGCAACAAAGTCAAACGCCATAATTTTTACTTTTTTTTAAAATTTATTAGATGAAAGAAAAAAATGTCGGAAATAGCATCAAATTTAAGAAAAAGTTTAGATTTGTTCATATTTGCCACCTTTGGCACGAATTATGGCCTTCAATGCTCTGCGGTATTTTGGCCCATTCCCGGCGAAGCGCTTGCTTGAGTTGATCGACACTTTGGTATTTTTTAGTGCCAACCTTGCTTTCCAAAATACTCCAGACACAATAGTCCAATGGATTGGTATCCGGAGATATTTGTGGCCATTGTACGCTGGAAATGAAGCGAGGAACCTCATTTTGTAACCATTCCTGTTGGAATGTCCCAGCTCTGCGGACAAAAATGTTTGCGTGCCCAAAGCTTTAATACACACTTCAGAATATTTTCGCGACAATATTCGACATTTATTCTGATGCCACGATCGATTAATACGAGCGGAGAGCGGCCATCGGCTGTTATGGCGGGCCACACCATCGCCATGGCCGGCGCTTGAGTTTTGATGGCCAACCGAGGGTGCATATATGCAGCTGACCTCCTTGGCAAGTAAACACGATCATTTTGTTTCTTTACAAACGGCTGGACAACGAATGTTTTCTCATCAGAGAAAACCAAATTCGGTAGTCCACCGCTTTCGGTCAAGCGAAGCAACTCTTTAGCTCTTTTGAGTCTATTTTCTTCATGTTGCAGTGTAAGTTCTTGCACTTATTGGAATTTACCTCGAGTACATTTTTCAATATTTGCGAATGGAATATTGGGATATGTTCAGCTCACGATCCATTTTTTGCTCACTGCGATGCGGGTTTTGATCAAGTCGCTTCTTTACTATTCGAACCATTTCTGCTGATGTTGCAGTTTTCTTCCGTCCACTTCCCTGACGTCGGGCTACGATACCAGTATCAGGGTAACGAGCGATGATACGAGACACAAAAGATTTATTCACATTTAAATGCTGGAGTGCTCGAACGATAGTCACTTGTGGATTTCCAGCCAAATATAAAGAAATCACACTATCACGCTTAAATTCCATCACCAATAACTCTTTTTCAGGATAATTGTCACCAAAATGCTTTTGTACGCTTGTAAACAATATAATGAGCTGTCACTGGAATAATTTTAACAGCTGTAGGACGAGTGGTTTAGTAGTGACAGCAGCCTGAAGTTGGTTGCAGTTTTTTCATCTCACCCTTATATGGGGGTCCATTTACTTATTATGAAAGAATTAGACGATTCGTAAGGTGTACCAATATGACGTCTTCGTATAGACTCTATACATTTCCTATTTTCAGAATTTTGATGATTTTAGCGACATTGTTCAACGTAATTATTTCAACGGAAGTTTTCGCGACTCCTCTAAGCCCATAATAAATTAAAATTAAATTAAAAAGGTGTATTTTATGGATTTTTTAAATAATTTTCTAGACATTAAGAGCATTTTAGATTCCTCCGAGGCCCAAAGATTTGATTTATAAAAAAGTAGACTCATCCCAGACCCAATGGCGTGCAATTTTCAGAATTTTTTCTAGACTCATTCAAGGCCGAAAGCATAAATTTTGACAGCTTTTTCTAAACTTCTGTGGAGTTTAAACCCTCTCTGGAAAAAAATAATTATAAGACCCATATTTTCCCTACCTTACAATACAATATTCGATCGATGTACCTTACAATATTCGATATTATGATGATTAGTGTCACATTTTTCGACGGAACTGTTTCAAATTTAGTACTCGTTCCTATGACAGGTCAACTTCTTCGGGTATATATGTTTCCCCCCCCATTTTTCAGTGAAATTATCTCAAAACTAGTATTCGGGATTTCCATATTACTTCACCACCGATGCCGATTTTCCCCACATTTCTCATAAAATTATCTCAAAACTAGAATTATCTTTTCGGCGGAATATTTTAAAATTTCCAACTTCTTTCTAATTAGTGGAGGATATTATCTCTTAAACAATTCAGAAAACAAATAATCATGAGGCATCATTACATGAGGCTATACTTATTAGCGGTCTAAGAAAGCCTTCCAAATAGAAGCGCTCTCGATTTGACAAAACATAAAGTACTATCACTTTTTAAGATTTTTAGCCGATTTTTCTTTAAGTTCTCGAAAAAGAGTCAACCTCCTTCTTAGGATTATAAATTTTCCAACTGAATATACTCCTGCTTTATCTCCAAAGATGATTAAACCACCATAAAATTGTTGAAATCGAATTGGAAATAAAAATAAGGCAAAAAATATATATTACCCGGAGTCGAGTTATTTTTTCGACTGGTACTCTACACTGAATGGGTTGGAATTTGGTATTTTGACTTCATATATCGTTGTAAACTTGAGCTCAAAGATATTTAGGTTTAATTTTCGATCATTTTATGATCACCGCAAATTATTAGGAGTTAGAAGCTAACAGAATTGGCTCCTTCAATTCCTCTATTGGAAACAAAATTTATCCACTTTAAAGTATATATGTCTAGATATCTCTAGGTTATTGTTGGTGTTATGGGGTAACATAAAGCGCGTTTTTCTACCACACTTTAGAGGGTATATTAGTTTTGTTCTTTTACGAAGAAGCTAGCCGATGACTTAAGCCTGTCAAAAAAGCGTATTCTATATATTCTAACCTTTAAGCCAGTAAAAAAGCCTTTTATATACTTACAACTTTATGAATAAGATACATTTGGAAACTATTGCTCTGTTCCAGTACCTGCAAGAATCTACCATTTTTGCAATTTGTCTCAATGTCATAAAGGAAAAATCGGTTATCGTAGCAAAAACTTTAAAATGTTTGCAATTCTTGAACAGACCATATTTGATTGGAAATTAATATCAATTTACATTTTATTTTTTCTTAGATTCCAAACACCCTATTTCTGGCCCTCGAACTGTTGGGAACCCGAGAATACCGACTATGCCGTCTATTTGTGCAAACGGACGATGCAAAATAAAACCCGCCTAGAATTGGCCGATTATGAAGCGGAAAATTTAGCCAAACTACAGAAAATGTTTTCGCGCAAATGGGAATTTATTTTTATGCAGGTGTGTCGTTAAGAAAATGCCTTTATATATCCGTATTAAAATCGAAATTTTTCACTTTCAGGCGGAATCCCAGAGTAAAGTGGCCAAAAAACGCGATAAACTGGAACGTAAAGTGCTCGACTCGCAAGAACGAGCCTTCTGGGATGTGCATCGTCCGATGCCCGGTTGTGTCAACACCACTGAAATTGATATTAAAAAAGCATATCGTAGAGGTGCCTCTAGCCACGGCACCGGTTCTGGCGGTGCCTCAGTTGCCAAAAATCCTATTGAACTACTGACGCGCATCATAACACTGCGCAAACAAAAGCTGGAACGTCGTACAATAAAAGTGTCGAAGGCGGCCGAAGCGTGAGTATTAGACGATGGGCTTCAAAGATTATTTTAATTTATTGATTTCAATTTCCAATTTCAGTTTGGTATCCTATTATGAGCAATATAATGAATTTGATTACTTTATCACTTCCCCGGATCTGCCAAATCCCTGGCAAACCGACAGCACCGAAATGTGGGATGCCGAAAAGAATAGGTGAGCTTTATAAAAACATATAAATATATGAAAATCTATTGAATATTTTATGATCCCTATTTTTCAGCAAAGAGGTATCGATGAGACGCTGCAAACGCTGGGCATTTAGCATGCGCGAACTATTGAAAGATCCCATGGGCCGTGAACAATTTGCCAAATTTCTGGAAAAAGAGTACAGCTATGAGAATTTATTGTAAGTATGATTTAATTTATAGAGTATCCGATACACGAAAACAATTAGGATGCCCTTTTTAAATAGGTTAGGAAGAGTATGTAATGTATTTATAGATATAAAACCTCCAAGAGCTATACTACTTTTAAAGCGTATCAGGAAGTCCTCTATTGAAGACCTCGAGAAGAACTTCCGTCTATAGAAGATCTTGAGACCATGTGAATGTCTTCTGTCTATAAAGGGCCTTTAGACGTCTTTTTGTCTATGTAACACCTTTAGATTGTGATTTAGAAAGCCTTCAATCTTTAGAAAATCACGAGAAGATTTTCTGCCTTTCGACGACCTTAAGATACTTCTATCTATAAAAGACGACCTTGAAAGAGGTGGACGACCTTGAAAGAGGTTTCTACCTATGGAGATCCTCGAATGGTCTATAAAATATCTTTCAAATATTTCTGCAACACAAGATCATCTCTATATATAAAGGCTTCGCAAAGTCGCCTTTCTAAAGATGATCTATATCGTAGGAATTCCATCAACAAATTCCCTGAAAAATGGGAAAATATTCTTAAAAATCCACGTCTCTCGCTTTCCAGGATTCTGGAAAATATTCTTAAAAATCCACGTCAAAAATCCACGACTCTGGTTCTGACAGCCATTGAAAAAATATTCTTAAAGGTCTCTATCACTGCTTTAGAATGGTCCTTACAAAATATTCTTAAAAATCCACAACTCTGTCTTTGAAGGTCCTTGAAAAAATATTCTTAAAAATCGAAGTCCTTGGATCAGATAGTCTCTGCCTTAAGAAAATACTCTTAAAAATGTACGTCTTCGGATTTTATGGTCCTTGAAAAAAGTCTTAAAAATCCACGCCTCTGGCTCTGATAGTCGTTGAAAAAAATATTCTCAGAAATCCAAATCTCTGATAGCCCTTGAAAAAAAATCTGAAAACTCAACGTCTATGGCTCTGATGGTCCTTAAAAAATACACGTTTCTGGCTTTGAAAAAAATACTCTTAAAAATTTACCTGTTTGGATTTTATGGTTTTTGGAAAAAAATCTTAAAAATCTACGTTTCTGGCTCTGATAGTCCTTGAAAAAAATCTTAAAAATCCACATCACTGAATCTGATAATCCTGAAATCCTCTCTGGCTCTGGTAGTCCTTGAAACAAATATTCATAAAAGTCCACGTCTCTGGATTTCTTGATCCTTGTAAAAATATTCTTAAAAATCGACGTCTTTGGATTTTATGGTCCTTGAAAAAATATTGTAAAAAATTCACGTCTTTGGATTTCTAAAAAAATAATGTCTCTTGATTTGATGGTCCTTCACAAAAAATATTCATTAAAGTCCACGTCTCTGGATTATATGATCCTTGCAAAAATATTCATAGAAATCCACGTCTCTGGATTTTATGGCCCTTGAAAAAATATTCCTAAAAACACGTCTCTGGTTTTGATGGTCCTTGAATAAAATTTTCTTAAAATCCATGCATCTGACACTGATAGTCCTTGAAAAAAAGTATTCTTAAAAATCCACGTCTCTGCCTTAAGAAAATACTCTTAAAAATGTACGTCTTCAAATTTTATGGTCCTTGGAAAAAATTTTTAAAATCCACGTCTCTGGCTCTGATAGCCCTTGAAAAAAATATTCTCAGAAATCCAAATCTCTGATTACCCTTGAAATAATACTAGAAAAAAAATCTTAAAAATCCAAATATCTGGCTCTGATAGTTCTTGAAAAAAATCTTAAAAATCCGCTTTCCTATTCCTTGAATAGAATAGTATTAAAATCCACGTCTATGGTTTTGATGGTCCTTAAAAAATACTCTAAAAATACACGTTTCTGCCTTTGAAATTTATTTGGATTCTATGATCCTTGGAAAAAAAATTAAAAATCGGCGTATCTGCCTTTGAAATTTATTTGGATTCTATGGTCCTTGGAGAAAAAAAATAAAAATCGACGCATCTGGCTCTGATAGTCCTTGGAAAATATTCTTAAAAACCCACATCACTGGATCTGATAATTCTTAAAAAAAAAATGTTCCAAAAAATGCACGGCCCTGTCTTTGATGGTTCTTTAACAAAAAAAAAAGTATTATTAAAAATCCACGTCTCTGGATACGATGGTCACTGAAAAAATCCACCCCTCTGATTTTAATGGCCGTTACAAAAAATATTCTTCAAAATCCACGCCTCTGGTTTTAATGGTCCTCACAAAAAAACATTTTAAAAAATCCACGCCTCTGGTTTTAATGGTCCTTACAAAAAAAAATCTTAAACATCCACGCCTCTGGTTTTAATCGTCCTTACAAAAATATTCCATGTCTCGGTCTTTGATGAACCTCCAAAAGAAATAAATAAAAATCAACGATTCTGGATCTGATAGTCCCTGAAAAAATATTCTTGAAAACCAAAGTCTCTGACACTGATAGTCCTTAAAAAATCTCAAAAATCTATTTCCTTGGATTTCTGGAAAAAAAGTATTCTTTAAAATCCATGCCCCTGTCTTTGATGGCCCTTAACAAATATTTGTAAAAATCCGCGTTTAAGGCTTCTTGAAAAAACTCTTAATAAATCCTTGAAACAATATCCTTTACATATTTCATTCCTTTCCTTCTTCCCCCCACTTGCAGATTCTGGGAATCGGTCCAGGAAATGAAGGCTCTACCTCAAAGCGAAATCAAGGAGACCATACAACGCATTTGGCAGGAGTTTCTGGCACCCGACGCACCAAAAGCCGTCAATGTTGATTCGAAATCGGTGGAATTGGCTCGTGAAGCTGTCAATTCACCGAATGGACCAAATCGTTGGTGTTTTGATGTTGCTGCCGCCCATGTCTATCATCTCATGGAACGGGACTCATATCCCCGGTATTTACGTTCCGATATGTATAAGGACTACATTAATTGTTCGCGCAAGAAGATCAAGTCGATACCGAATCTGTTTGGGGTGAAACGCTGAAGTGTGGTTCCTGCGGTTGCTTTGTCCTCGGCAACCGCAGCTGCTACCTCGTCCCACCACCATCATCATCATCATACGCAGCATCAGCAAGCCCATCCCACAACGTCATCATCGTCGGCAACCTCTGGAGGTGGTACTGCATCCACGCCATCCGGGGCAGGGTCGCATCAGCAACATACTCCACATCATAGATTTTCATCATAGAGAGAAGAAGGAAATGAAGAATGGAATGGAATATAACTTGAAAGAAAAATGGTATCCTATGCCACTACACTCATACATACACATACATACTTGCATACCTATACTCATCGTTAGAAGCCAGGAATTGTAGGGTAATATGAAATTAAAAACCAAATGAAATAAAAATTTAAAAAAATATTTACAAGAAACTATATATGAATGTGCAACACATTGAATCGTTTTTTAGATTTTAAAATTTAGCAGAAACGTGGTTAAATGTTGAAATGATTAAAAAAAATGAAGAAAATGGCCGCTAGATTTTTGATTATATTTTGGATTTATTTTTAAAAAAATTAAAAACAAACAAATACAAAAATTAACTAAATGGCTAGCAAAAACAGGAGATATATAAATGTTTATTTTTGTGTTATATTTATATGTAAAAAATATAAATAACTGAATTGACTAAACTAAAACCGAGAAAACCAAAAAAACTAATCGTTAAACGTATGTTAAATGTAAGTTTCAAAGGAACCTAAGAGAAATAATAAAATTAAAAGAAAACCAACAAGAAGTGGAGATAAATCTTATAAGGATTTGGTCGAAACATTTCGAAAACGCATACATACACATATATAATCAAATCAAAATAAAACAAAAATATATCATTCCTCATCCTCTGTATCACCCATATAAGAAAAACCCATACCGAAACATATACATATATATCGAAATAAATACATAGTTTGCAAAACGCATATAGCAAAAAAAAATAAAAAATAAATAATGAATTGCATAACATTTTAGAATAATTGATTAAAAATAAAAAAGTATAACTGAACTAAAATAAATTAACAAAAAAAAAGAAATTATGAAAAATGTGAATTAAAAAAAAAATACCGAAATAAAAACAAAATAAATAAATAAATCCTATATACCTTAAAAGTGTATATGAGAACTATATGAAATGTGAAAGAAATGGGTTTTATTTTAAAGTTAAAGATTTGTTAGACTCTTGTCGGAATAATTCTTCGACAAAAAAGAGAATCGCACACTGTGCTGAGAGATATGCAAAAATTCCTTTACAAACCATTTCGAGAGGAAATAAGACCTAATGAGAAGAGTAAAAAAACCTAATAAAAAGAGTAAATCTATCCACAAGGCGTTCGAAATATCATTTTGAGTAATAGGTCTACCCTCAGATTTCCCGAAATGGCAGTCGATTTTGTTGGGAAATGAGGTAGAATCATCCAAAATACCTAAAGTATCCTAATGTGGACCAATATAGTTCGTTTTTAATACCAAACATCTTAGGTGTACTGCAAATATCTAAACCATTTTTTTAATTTATATTGACTCCAAAATAGACTTGTGAATGAAACTGATCACAAATATATCATTAATTTACTCAAAAAGTGGCTAGCCTGAAAATGTGTTTTTATTTAGCAATTTAAGATTAAAAAAAACTGCAACAAAGTCAAACGCCATAATTTTTACATATTTGTTATACCCAACAACACTATGTGTTGGGGGTATTATAAGTTTGATTGGGCCAGAATTTATGTAACACCTCGAAATATTGGTTTCCCATATAGGAAAGTATATATGGATCTTCCTAGCTCGCCGAGCTGAGTCGATCTAGCTATATATGTATGTCCGTCCGTCTGTCCATGTTAATTTGTAATCACTCTACAGGTCGCAATTATGGCCCGATCTTCACGAAATTTAGAATGGAGGTGGGTCTGGGGTCAGAATAGAACCCTATTTCTTTTGGAGATGATCGCCAAATGTTTAGGGGTTGAAATGGACCAAATACTGAAAAAATTTCGGATTTTGCAGTAGCTATACAGGTCGCAATTATAGACCAATCGACGCGGAATTTCGCATGTAGCTAGAGTTTAGGGCGGGGAAGAAGCCTACCAATTTGGGTGGTCATCGGATAATATTTAGCGGGTAAAATAGACCATATCTTTTGTGTTGAAAAAATTCAAAATTTTTCATTAAACCGCGAATATTTTAAATCCCGGTCGCAATTATAGACCAATCGACGCGGAATTTCGCATGTAGCTAGAGTTTAGGGCGGGGAAGAAGCCTACCAATTTGGGTGGTCATCGGATAATATTTAGCGGGTAAAATAGACCATATCTTTTGTGTTGAAAAAATTCAAAATTTTTCATTAAACCGCGAATATTTTAAATCCCGGCGAAATCACAAAGCCATGACAAGGTTACTTCTGATCTTTACATTGATGTTAACATCCAACAAAACGGATATATAGCAAAATATGTGCGATATATACGTTTATCAAAGAAGATATGCTTGAAAAATCTCTTATATGTCGATAACGGCTGAACTGATTTCCACAGTTCTCATTAATTTAGAATGGCCTCTTGGCAGGAAAGAAGAAACGCATAAAAAATCGCATAAAAATATCTCTCTAAAGATGAAAATATTGATTTTGTAAAATTTTCTCATATTTTTTCAATTTTGTCATATTTTTGGCATATTTTCATTTTGAATTAAACATTTGGTATAATTTCTACAGCTAACAAAACTAAGTAGTTAGGATATCAGGATATCATATACAGATCGCATTTATGGTCCGATCCTAACGAAATGGGGATCAGATGAGGGTCAGAATAGAAGCCTACTCTTTTTGGAGATGATCGCCATATATTTAGGGGTTGAAATGGACCAAAAAACTGCAAAATTGTCAGCAGGTCGTAATTATCGCCCGACCCTCACGCACATTTGAATGGGGGTTACCGGACATTGCAAAAGCCAAGCAGTTTTGGATGGCCATCCAAAAATATTCAATGTGTGAAATAGTTTGCCAACTTTTGTAGACAAAATACGAAAATGTCCATTCCAGTGACTTTTTGGAGAATTCACAAATACAGGAAAGACGCACTTCTGACTATTTCGTTAAGGCTGATTTCGTTGAAGAATATGATCAAATCTCATATAGATGCGTTTCAGTCAAAAACCAATAATAAATGTTAATCTTTTGCCACTTCTGAGAGATTATAGGTCTTTGGGAAATATTGGTTCCAGATCTAGGAAGACCATTTACGTGCAACATCTACCAATAAATTGGAAATGAGCAAATTAGTTTAAGTTGCTATTATTCGAAAATTAGAGAACAGAACCTGATAGTTTTCTTTTATTATTTGTCACAATATCTTGTGGAATTCTTTCGAGTATCTCGCCTATATAAACTGTATCGTTTATTATAGTGTTTTAGGGTATTCAACTGTCGGCCCCGCTCGACTGTAGCCTTTGCTTACTTGTTAATTTATAGTGACTCCAAAACGGACATCGTTAAATAGACTTGGGAATTAAGCTGATCACAAATATATCATTAATTTTCTCAAAAAGTGCCAAGCCTGAAAAATGCGTTTTTATTTAGCAATTTATATTTTTTTAAGCAATTCATTTTATCTTTTTATTTTTGTACCCAATTCCGTCACTCATTCTGAATTTCATTGGAATCAGACACATATATCGTATTTGGTGCATCAAATATGCGAAATCGTCCGAAATATATACAGGGTGAGATAAAAAAAACTGCAACAAAGTCAAACGCCATCATTTTTTACATATTTTTTTTAATTTTATTGAATGAAAGCAAAAAATGTCGGAAATAGCATCAAATTTTAGAATAAGTTTAGATTTGTTCGATTTGGTCGAATTTGGACCTTCAAACGGCAAATGAAACCGTCACACGCTGCCCGAATGTTGCTCTGCGGTATTTTGGCCCATTACCGGCGAAGCGCTTGCTTAAGGTGATCGACACTTTGGTATTTTTTAGTGCCAACCTTGCTTCCCAAAACACTCCAGATACAATGGTTTAACTTCCTTGAAAAAATATTCTTAAAAATCAATGTATCTGTCAGTCCCTGAAAAAATTCTCTTAAATATCCACGTCCTTAGAAAAAATTTTTAAAAATTGAATTGACTTGAAAAATGTATTTTAAAGAATACATTCACGTGTCTGTCTTTGATGACCTTAGAAAAATATTCTTAAAATCCACGTCTCTGTCTTTGATGACCTTAGAAAAATATTCTTAAAAATCCACGTTTTACGATCATTGAAAAATATTCCTAGAAATCCACGTCTCTGGATTTCATGGTCTTTAAAAAAATATTTTTAAAAATCCAGGTCTCTGGCTCTTATAGTCCTTAACAAAAATATTCTCGAAAATCCAGGTCTCTGGCTCTAATAGATAAAAATATTCTTAAGAATCCACGACTCTGCCTTGAATGGTCCTTAAAAAGATTATTCTTAAAAAATCACGTCTCTGGCTCTGATGGTCCTGGAAAAAAATATTCTTAAAAATACAGGTCTCTGCCTTTGAATGATCCTTGAAAAAAAATATTATTAAAAATTCCCGTCTCTGGCTCTGATGGTCCTTGAAAAAATATTGTCAAAAATCTACGTTTTTTGACTTTATGGTCCTTAGAAAAATATTCTCAAAATTCCACGTCACGGATTGGTATCCGGAAATTTTGGTGGCCATTGTGCGCTACAAATGAAGCGAGGACCTACATTTTGTGACCATTCTTGGGTGGCTCATGCTGAGTCCGATGGTGCTGAGTCCTGTTGGAATGTCCAAGGTCTGCGGCCAAAATGTTTGCGTGCCCAAGGCTTTAATACACCCTCCAAATTTTTTTCGCGATAATATTCGGCATTTATTCTGTTGCCACGGTCGATTAATACGAGCGAAGAGCGACCATCGACTGTTATGGCGGCCCACACCATCACCATGGCCGGCGCTTGAGTTCTGGTGGCCAACCGAAGGTGCACATTTTCAGCTGACTTCTTTGGCAAGTAAACACGATCATTTGTTTGTTTAAAACACGATCATTTGTTTGTTTAAAACTGCTGGACAACGAATATTTTCTCATCGGAGAAAACCAAATTCGGCAGTTCACCACTTTCGGCCAAGCAAAGCAACTCTTTAACTCTTTTGAGTCTATTTTTTTCTGTTGCGGTGTAAGTTCTTGCACTTTTTGGAATTTCAATGGCTTTAACCCCGAGCTCATTTTTCAATATTTGCCGAATGGAAAATTGCGAACATAGCTGACGAGCCACGTTTCGGCCATTGCGACGAGGGTTCGATCGAGTCGCTTCTTTATTTTTCGAACAATTTCTGCTGATCCTTGACGTCGAGCTATGCTACCATTATCACGGTAACGAGCGATGGTACGAGACACAAACGATTTACTCACATTTAAATGGTGAAGTGCTCTAACGATAGCCTCTTGTGGTTTTCCAGCCAAATATAAAGAAATCACTCTATCACGCTTGAATTCCATCACGAATAACATTTTTTTCTAGAAAATGCTCACCAAAATGG